CGCAAATACGAGTACGTACTTTTCTCTGTGTGTACGACATGGTTGTCGTAAAACAAGCTTTTAATTTGGTAAGGTGTACTATAAGTATTGCAAACAACCGCAAGTAAAATTTCGAATAACTATATGTAATAGTAATAATCGTTTTTATATTGGAAATAATATTCTCCGCTTTTTATTATATATACATTGCGTTCACTATGTTCATCACTTTGCACTCGTAAAGAAAGCACTTTTCAAGGAAAAGATAAGTAATCTTATACAAATATTTAAACTAATCCGTATTTCTAACACCCTGTGCGATTTTCTTCTTACGAGAAAGTCTTATACCGCGCGTTCTTCTAGTGTGGATATTCCGAACCGCTTTACTTTTGCTTACCATGTGATTAGTGAGGTGGATGATATAAATGTAGTTAAATTTACTATTATTGTGATTGTATTTAGTGTATAAAAATAATTAACTAATTTACTATTCATTACCTGGACATTTTAACAATACTAGCTAAAAGCTTATATTTTACAGTAAATTTTTTAAATAGTTGGCGTCACTGTGTGTTTATGTTGCTAGTATTATAATAATAATTACCATAAAAATGATATTCCTGACTATAATTATTTTACTATGCTATTATAGTTTCAAATACTACATATTTTGCTATCAGTGTACTGATAAGGTTGAAAATTTTATGGGTTTCTTTTAAACAGTCAAGTTTTCTTTGGGAAATTATAATTTAATTTACCTTTCCGCGCGTACGTCGTTCGCTCCTCGTAACGGAATAGCACTTTCGAGAATGGTAGATACTTCAGAATGATTTATAATAATTTTTTCCCGCGCATAAATTAAACTATGTATAAAATCCTATTTGCTATCTATTTCGGATTTTAATTTTTACAAATTGCGCGCTTTGTTAACGTGATACATCGGATAGCATATATCGCAGCTACTGTTACGTTACATGCAATGCGTCATCCCTGTGATAAAAAATATCAAGCAATCGCAAACTAAATATGTAATCTTTCATGACAAGATATTGCATTAAACGCGGACAGGTTGTACATGATGGAAGAGTCGCGTCGGGCTTGTAACAAACCGTTATTATATTTCACTCAAATGAATTTTTATTCTTGCTTATTTTTAGGACATTAAAACACAATACAACGGGAAACAGGAGATGTCCTTATTTAAGATCATTTTATATTCATGAAATATGAACTTGATATGAAAATCGCGAGTGAGAAGAACGGCAAGAACAAAAAATATTTCTGCAGCTATATAGATGCTCCCTGTCGTCGAAATAAATGGCTGTACAAGTCACGGTTTCCGACAGCGTATTCTCTAAAGTGACCCAAACTTTATCACAAATTAGGGAAGACCGGTAGTTTTCGGAAATAGCTCGGCACCTGCGTAGTGGACGTTTGTTTCGCAAATGTCGAACGTTGTGATAATTAATTTCAGTCGTTCGCAGCGTCGAAAAATAGCAATCTCGTGGTATTAATCGCTCGGTAGGTTTGCTGATTTAGCGATATGACGGGCTTAATCGTCTTCAATAAACAGAGGCACTTGATCAGCCGGACTTGGCGTGATCAGCGTGACTCTCTATTTACTTCTAATTTAATCATTGCATGACCGTCGACGGCATATAGCCCGCATCTGCATCCGACAGTGGTACAGGCACGTAGTAAATGTATAGCGACACTATAGCGACGTGCACAAATGGCTGCGCAACGTATAAATTCCGTCGCTGTCTGGGTCTCATATGGAGCGTGCCATTGAAACGTGTTTTTGCTATGAATTCGACAAATATTTGCCCGCGTGACATGGGAAGGTTGACACATGCCGTTATGGAAAAAACCGCGAGCGATAAGAGATCAATCGCGTGTACGTTATTTCGCGACGTGCAAAATTGCATAACCGGGCGCGGAAGAAAATGGCGAGGTCACAATCAATTTTCGTTTAGCGATACACGGCGAAATCAATTTAAATCGCGCCGTTATACATCGACGGCGAAATATCAATTTTTTTTTTGAGCGGGGAGGGGGAGGGGGAGCAGCACACACAGCGACATATTAGACCAGAGATCGAGTTTATTAATGGCAACCGTTGATATCGCCGCTGTTAATTTTTTTATCAAGCTTCGGCTCTCCTGCAGGGGATACGTTCCGATAGAGATCGCCTTTACGGCGCGATTTACGAATAGGCACATTAATAATTTCAACATTCATTGTCGCTTCTGCATTCGCTGGTTTACGCGCTAGTCTCTCCAGGTATTTAAGATATTTACAACGCAAGATGATATTTTCAGCCATTTTCCGGGTGTATACACAAAATGTACGACTCGGTGCAGCGTTTCGTTTCGCTGATCCTCTCCGCTCGTTCTCCATCCACCCTCCCCCCCCCCCCGCTTTAGCCTACATCTTCAGCTTGTGTTCTCCTGCAACGCGTCCTCCACCCCCGCCCCCTCCCCTCGGCCGCTCCTACGCGCGTTTGCTTCGTTTTCTCTCCGCAGTATTTCTTTGCTCTCCCGAGATCGCGCTTTTCCCGACAATTCTCCCTCCCGTCTCGGTAATAATTGAATTCGCGTTACGTCCCGGCTACCGCGCGAGGAGCCGCTAGCCGCGGCGGAAGACGCGGCCGCGATCGTGGACGTTTCGCATTTGAAATTGAGAGGAGAGGAATAATAAAAAGACAAGCGCGGCTGTGCGGAGCGCGAGGCAAGTGGCCGCGTATTGTGGCCCCTTTCGCCGTTGCGGCAATCCGATTAGACGGATCTGCGGTACGCAGCGCGGACTGCGGAAAGCTACCCTTTGATTTTGAAACTTAATTTGCTCATCGAGCGAGAACAAAGAAAGCCGCACGCCCGTTCGCGTAACGAGGCTTCGCTCTCGTCTTTAGCGCGGAATTTTCTCCCGCAATGGTATCGTCTCAGAAAATGCGATACATACGTCGTACGGCGTCGGAGCCTTAATGCGATAATTTAATGCGCCGTAAACTAATCGACAGGTGGGACTGATGAAAGAAATTATAATTTTACGATTTTAACGTACGTGCACCTGCGTAAAAACGGGAGAGGCGAATTTTCGATCGCTTTATTAATGGATTTACAAAACACGTATATTCAATTACTGTAATTAATTGAATTCGATATGCGCAATCTATGAGTACATCACATTTTATAATTTTGGTCAACGGATATAAAATTGCATCAGCGCGAAGTGGCAATAACGTATGAATAATTGTTCTTTTGCGCCATATATAAAATTGATAAATCAAACGCATTGGATTGATCTGCTATTTTTCCGCGCTTACGGCCGAATAACAGCGCGATAATTAATTATTGACTCTTTCTGAATTTCATTAACCGTATTCCGTTACGGAAAACTTATTACACCTTAAATTAATATCTGACAACTAATTTGGCATTCAACCGAAACCATCTTCAGCGGCTCGAAAACGCGAGTCAAAGTTATTTAATTACCGGGATAAAGATAGCATGGGTGGTTCTCATTTGTGCGGAAGCACCTCCTGTTAATTTCCAAACATTATATTATAACAGACTTCTTTCGAGCCTGGGCCGTTGTTGAATTTTCACAAAATCACCTTCCGTGCTCTTAATAACATCCGGCGAGTAATGCAATGAACAAAATACATAGAGAAACTAATAGCGAATTCGGTTGCTTGCACTAGTGCGCACTGAGTGCGCACTAGGGCTGGTTTACAGTCAATTCATATGTTTAAGGAGGACCCCAATCTGTTTTACCGACACTTTCGAATATAATTTTTGCGCTGGTAAATCTTTTTATTAGCTTTTATGCACAAAGTAAAGTCAGGATAAGTTGCGGACCGCATAACAGAACTTTCTCACACTTAAAACACTCGGGTCAGGAGTCTAATGAGAAAGATATTGGTATTTGAAATTTTCAATTTTTTAATCGTCAACAATTTGAAATTGGCTTTATACAATTACAAAATTCTTCCACGCGCTTGTGGTACGCGTAAAAACAAAGCGGGGGATTCACGACTTTATTCACGACAGATGACTTTAGGATCCTATATTTCGGAGCCAGTAAAATGGGTCTGTATAGCATCCACGCGGATCATTCTTCGGCTAAATAGTTTTCGAACGTGTATTTAAGACAGAGTTAAATATAAAAATTTACTGCAAACGGGCCTTAGTGTGCACTCAGCGCGCACTAGTGCGGGCAATCAAATTCGCTGTAAGATTTTCATTTGAGCAAGAAGTGCGCAAACTCATCGCTGTAACGGATGTGAAATCCATCTGCGCGATTGAATCTTTCCGCAATTATTTGGGAACTGTCCTACATACACGTGCACCAAGTCCTAGTGCACTAAGTCCCCAATCCGGCCGGTGTATCAAGTGCAGCGCGGCTGTGCACATGTGCCGCTGATCTTCTCTTTTTTTCTCAAACAAGCGCGGATAACGATTATTGCACTTTTTCCCCCGGCTATTTGGTATGCATTGTCAAACGAGAACTCCCGTGGCGAAAAAAGCGGCTTACGCGACAGCGATCGATTTAGCGCCGTTTACTTTCCCTTAACGGAAAGTTTTTTTCCCCCGCTTCTCATTGTTTGTACCGTGTACCCGTACACGGGGGCCGGAGATTGTTTTTGCTGTCCTGCGGAATCTGAAATGGGGAAAAACACCCTGTTTGTTCTTCTAGGATTTTCCGCAACGTACTCAAAACGAAAGACGGTAAATTTTCTCGCCGGCTACGCCCGCCGCGCAAAATGATTTACGCTTGACGCTGGCGTATTCCAAATATGCGATGTACACGCGAATTTCGTCATTTGCGACAAAAATTGCGTAGAGCGCAAATTCGTTTTTTACGATCACTCGTGGCACCGCGCGTCGCGCAGCACCTAAAGCTGCGTCGTTAAAATAATTTTAATGGATTAAAATATTAATTGCGCGCGTTCGCGCTGAATAACGAATTGTTTTAATACGATCATCTTCATGTATGATAGAATGCATTCATTATTTCAGCACCGTCCTTGGTCGAAGTCCTTGGGATTCAACGGAATCGTGAATATTACGCTACCGTGAGTCCAGAACGTAAGTTGAATTTTTTAATTTAACAAACAGCTTTATAATCCGCCGCTGACATTAACCACCGTTTGTAACGTAAATCATAACAGAAATAACTCGCGACAGAGAGAAAGATTTTAGTGCACGTTCGCGACCTAATTTACATAATTATCGTAATTCTCTTATAATCATTGATTAATGTTATAACAAGATCAGACAGATGCGATTTCCGATTAATATTATTCTGATAAAAAGTTACCGATTCCCGTAACTATATTCAATTTCACGGATTACGCATATATGTATATTACTCTTAAAATCACATCAAATTTTTAAACCTGTTAATTATTATTTTTTTTATAATTATCGATTGGAAATAAGTTTCCAATGATGCTTAATCGTACTTACTTTGTTATATTGGTTGCTACGTACGGGATAAAAGAAATCGCGGTCACGGAAACGGATCCTGTTAGAATAATTATTATTTTATTTAAAGGGTATATTTTTAATAAGTATTTTATTCAAATTTGCTGTCTCGCTTAAATACCGAGCTAGCTCTTCTCTGCATCAGCAGTTGTTTGAATTTTTCATGACACCCGTTTTGCGACGACACACATTTATATCAACACACAGATAAAAAATATCTCAACCCAAAAAATATTACTTCACTCAAGAAAATTATTCATTAGGTGGCTCCTAATAGCTTATTGACTTAAATTTTGAAAATAATAAACAAATTAAACCGCGCGGTTCTTTAATTTAAGTATTTATTAAATATCAAGCGTAGAGAATTTTAAATTTAAAAAAGTTTATTTTAATTCCGTAAAATGTTTACTAAGATGCAATTTTCACAGCGAGAAAAATTGGATTTCTCACTTAAGAAAAACAATCAGTTCATTTCATAAATAGTTTTCTATAATATCTCGCGAAATCTTTATTTGAATGTAGAAAATGTAACGATTTCAATTAATTTACTTAATATAATACATAGATTTACTTGAAATTTCATATTTTCATTTAAATAGAATAAATATTTGCTGCAGTAAAAAACAATCATTTTAAGTAAATCTACTTAGTTTAAAAAAATTGTTTGTCAGTGTACTTGATTATTCGTCGAATAATTATCGATCACGGATGATACGAATCGTACACGATTTGCTTCGTCTTGCCTGTCTCAGCTTCAAAGAAATAATATACATTATGTCTTGGAACAAGCTCGTGTTTCACAGACAGCTAATACCTTCATTTATAACGAACGCCCCGAGCTCTGTTTCGTATTCGTCACATTAGTAAAGTCGTATCAGTCCCAAGTCGAGTCACAAAGCACTGCTATGCGTCCTCCGAGCTGATACAAGCCATCGCTGCATAATGACAACGGGGTGAACAATGAAAGTAATATCGGCATTCATCAGTGCTACCCTTTGGCAGTTAATATCAATAGAAACGAAGGGAAAGAAGGAAGAGCGTAAAAGCGCGCTGACAGCGCGTTCTCGTTTTCTTAAAATTGTTACGCTGTCTTGTATCATCAGAGGAGAGCTCTTTTATCTCTCCAGCTCTGATAGAGCGCGGGAAAGGAAAGAAATAATCAGGAGGAAATTCTAGCTGCCTATGAACAGGTGGAAAGATATACACACAAGACTATAAAAGCTTATTATTTACTGGCCAGACAGTTCGGTGCGGTCGGAAGATTAACAGTCCGTGGGGAGGGACTTCTTAACTTTCGAAAATTCCGTCTTCGCACGGGAATAACCAAATCAATTCGCGTACCGTTAATTATTTATTACAAGCACAGTCGCGGAGAGGACTGTTATTTCTTGAGTAATTGCAAACAGGATTAAGCTCGCTCGAGTATTTTATGTAAGTTATGAACAACGACGTGTTCATAACGCCGTGATGTACCCTGCTAATGGCTGCATTTCAAACATTTGCGTGTAACGAGTTTAACATTGAGAAATTTATTTTATGGTCCGCGTCCGGGGATGCTGCGCAGTTGTATAGTTTCCACCATCCAGCCGCTATTAAACGCGCGCCCGCGGAATAAAAAGCTATTCGGCGATGTCCGAGTAATCACCACCGTAATCAGATTGCGCACGATGTAATCGGGGGCGAAAACAGGACGTGAGTTTCGCGGACTAGTCTTCCGCATAGTCGGGCTTGCGGAAGTGCGGAAACGACTTTGACGATGCTCTGATAGTTTCGTGTGACCCAAAGTTAATAACCCCGCGGCGGCGCGGCGCGGAACTTTCGCGGACAATGTTCCCGGCCGCAAATTTATAAGATTCGGTCTTATTTGAAAAGTTTATGCAATTTCGCGGTCCCCGGCACACGGCCTGTAAATATTCGGTCGAACTTGGAACTTTCCGAATAATGCAGCCGAAGAGTTTATCGAAGAGAGTGGATACTGTACGCAGAGAGATCAGATATTGGAACGAAACGAGAAATATAAATCGCCGCCAAATTGACGATTTCACCGGAAATTTTATTGAACGCCGTAAACCGGCTGTAAACTAAATAAACTGTAAATTAAGTGCGTTACGTTCATGTACCGCGTGTATCGAAATAGATGCACCGCATAATTTCTGCAGCGTGTATCGATCGTATCAAACGAACGTTTATTTTTTTTTTTAAGTACTTTGAACCTGTCGTCCGTTTAACATAATTTGATAATGAAACTTGGTGACAAATGTTCTTTCGTTGCAAACGGATTGGGTACAAGATTGATTCCTTGGTACGTGTGTGTGTGTGTGTGTGTGCGACCGAGCACAACAGCTTGAAGCTACTCGCGCTTTATTTATCATGTTTGCAGTTAGATACAAGAGGAATTTATTGCCGCGTATCGTGAAATGGATATACGGGTGATGAACTCGAATGTAATTCTCACAACTCTGTGCGTCAAATAGTGTTGTAAAAGCGAAATATTTGCCCCCCCCCCCACCCCGCGTTTTTTTCTCATATTTGACGCCAACTTTATCCGTTGAACGTTTTTATTGTCGAAATATAATTTTTGGACGAAAACGCTCTTACAGTTGTTACATCCAAAGTCAAGCGTACATACTTTGAAGCGAAAGAATCCAGCAGGACATTGAGGGAAATATTTGGCAAAGAAAGGTGGACTCGGTCCCGGGAAAAGAATTTTTTTCAACGATTTTCTCTAGCGAGCGCATCTCTGGAGGGAAGATAAACAAAAATTACTTTGAGAGAGAGAGAGAGAGAGAGAGAGAGAGAGAGAGAGAGAGAGAGAGAGAGAGAGAGAGAGAGAGAGAGAGAGAGAGAGAGAG